GAGTCAAGCATCAGCGCTTGCAGCAGCTACAGCTCGGCGAGTTGGAGCGCAATGGCTCAGGGACACAGCGCTTGATGATAAGATCAATAGCACCCCTGTGCCTGGGTGCGAGCTCGTATCATCTGGGGACCGTGTGAACCCATGATCACTTGTATATATCATCATGTACTTATGTTCGTACCTATGTAAAGTAATGCCAAGTCTGATCTTCATCCAACTACCGAAATGATTAAGATCAGATGTGAATGCTGTTGCGATGGATGATCGCGAGTAGGCCATAATCAGTGGACCAAAAATGATGACCCAAATCAAGGTAGTGCTCCTCTGATAGCCCATATCTATTGCTAACAAAATGAGATTACATTACATGTGCTTTACGAAGCATTTTGCAGCCCATGCTAGTAGACCAATCTCTTTTCCGAGCCCATCCCTATGCCAACGTCTGAGAGTGGAAGCCCGTTCCAGTGGCCAAGCTAGCCTGCATTGAGACACCAGTTGCATGAGGTCAGTTAAGGCAAGGCCTCGATCCCGTGTGCATGATTGCACGACGCTTAGCAGGTCAGGGGGGCTTACATGTTTTTCTGAGGAACGAGATGAACACCACGAAGAGCGCCAGTCCTGCCAAGATGCCGACGATTATGGCCACAGTCCTCCCGACATCATCCTGCGAATAATCTGTGATCACAAGACAACATCAGATCATCGGATGCAGGATTAGAATAGCATATGCAAAGTTGCACACTTCCCGAGTGCTCCGCTCCCAGAAGCTTTTACCTGTGTGCCATTAAAAAAATTTAGAATTATGTACCAGCCATTAAAAAAGTTGAGCTCCCACGAGTATCATCGTTCTAAACTTCTTTACTCTCTAAACCATTCCATCCGCTTTTCTATTTAACGCTGTCAAACAGACAGGTAAAATGACCATTTTACCCTACAATTGAGTCCATTGGTCAGCCACCCAAACTTTCTCTCTCTCTCTCTCTCTCTTTCCTGTGTACACGAAGGGCCGAGGGAGCTCTGCGCTATGGCCTGGTTCTCCGCCCTCGTTGCCGTCCCGAGTGCTCGAGGTGGTGCGGCCTAGGCTCGAACACCGGCTTGACGAGGCCGCAGACGGTGGGGTTGGCTCCCGGCTTGGCGTGGCGGCGAGCCTCAGCGGTGCAAGAGGCCAAGGCCGAGGCCAACCGAGACGCGGAGACGCCAACGCCTAGAGCGATGAGCCTCGGCTCGCGTCCCCTCAACTGGCGATCGCACGACACGGTGAGCACGAACACAAGAAGGCATCGCGCTGCTGCCCACACTGCTGACCCCCGCAACATCGCGCCGCTGCCAACGCCATTGCCGAAGCGCATGTTAAGTTGTTAACTGCTTCACGCTGCCTTGCACCGACGTGGCCGCTGCCGAGCATCGCATCGTGCCCCGACTATGCTGCTGCTATCGGCCTGGATGGCCCTCCACAGGCACAGCTGCCAGCTGTGCTCAAGGCGGCATCGTCTTGCACGCGTCCCAGTAGAGCTCGCCGCAGCCACCGTCTCGCGCGCTCGGTGGAGATCACCCGCGCGTCGAGGATGCCGCCTCCCCGCGCCCTCCTCCACTGCGGCTCCTTGGCGCAGCTCAAGCGGCTGAAGCCCCTGTACCTGATGCTCCGGTCGCGCGCGGTGTACCTGGTGGACTTCGCGTGCTTCCGCACCAAACCCAACTGCAGCATCCCGTTCGCGACGTTCTTGGAGCACTCCCGCGTGTGGCCGGGCTTCGACAAGCGCAGTGTCCGATTCATGACGTGGCTGCTGGAGCGGTCCGGGCTCGGGGAGGAGACGTGACTGCCGTACGTGCAGCAATACATCCCACCGTCGCGTGACCTCGAGTCCTCCCTCGCCGAGGCCTCGTCATCTTCTCCGCCATCGACGACCTACTCGCCAAGATCGGCCGCCGTGAGCACGCTTAGGGGAGCTCTCCCACCGCCACGCGGTGCTGGCGGCGGGCGCTGGGCGCAAGCGAAGCTCTGCCCGCCACCACGGGCGCGCAGTCGGAGGAGAGCTCTGCCCGACCGCCCCATGCGAGCACGCAAGCGAAGCGAGCTCCGCCCAGTCTTGGCGCGGCGCTTGGCAGCATGGCGCTGGGCAGGCGCCAAGCGAGCTCCACCCAACATCGGCGCGGGCGCGAGGCTAGCACGCCAGCGAGGAGGAAGGTGGAGTCGGGTTCTTGACAGGCCAGCCCCACTAGAGAGAGAGAGAAGTAAGAGGATAGGACAAGAGAAGGGTATTTTGGACGTTTACACTGACCGGAGCTGTATGTAAGGGCTGCCAAACGGTAAAAAACAAACAGAACACAGACGGATTGGCTTGGATTGCAAAGAAATTCAGAACGATGGCACTCGTGGAAACTTAACTTTTTTAATGACTCATGCATAATTATAAATTTTTTTAATGGCACACAGTCGCTTGGTTTTATCGGGAATATATTCATCGGCACAGGGGGTGGTTGGCCGCCGCCGTCAAGCGTCAATCCCACAATGTGCGTGCCTATCGCGGCCGCGCAGTCCTAAACCTGATAGATATGCTTGGCGATAGGCATTTTTTGTTTAGTCTTTAGTGGCTATTGGTGGATCAGGACAATGTTTTGGATCGGTATATACGGCAAATGAAAGAGAAATCGACGGCTAGCTTACGGCTGAAAGTCCTTTGCATCTGCAGGTGACGATGCTCGATGAAGCCATACAGGAAATACGAATCTAGCATACCCAAACGTACTCTTTTGGTCATTTTCTTTTGGATCAAGAAGTAATGCAGCTTCTTTCATTACTGTCACTTCAAAGCATACTGGGTCCAGTTGTAACTGTGCCTCGCATGCGGTCCACTAGAAACTCCAGGATGATTGCATACCAAACCCCCATAATATATTGGACTGGATCGTGCTGGAGCCGCTACTGATTTGACTGATGAGGTGGAAGTGGAACAGAGAATGTTGCCACCGGTCGTTATGGCGCGCGCGGCGCGGTGGTCACTTGTCAGCAGTCAAGTGATTGCTATCTTGTCTCTTTCTCCTTTGCTAATCTAGACAGCGCGTTCGAGCTGCTGCCTGTTGGTAGCTAAAATTTTCAAGTAACAGGCACGATTGATCCTAGACAACTGAAAACTAAGCCGTTGGGAGCGAGCTTTCCCGTGTAATTACTCGCTTAATCGCCTTGAGTGCGAGGGCCTCGGACATTCTCGTCCTGATCGCCATCCATTGACAAGCCATAGGGAGAAAAAGGGTGTCAGAGGACATATTCTGCCCCATCTCTTTGTTACAAACGTTGGGAAGTTTACCTATCGCCTACTGGAATCAATTCCTGCTGCAACTCGAGCTGGTCACTCGGAAATTGCGATCCGTAGTAACCGCGCAGGCAGCACTAGCAGTCTAGCACTGCAGCATCAGTATTTTTGCCGTGTCGAAGCCTCAAACGCAAGGGCAAAACCGCGTACAATTTGCGTTGGAAAATACTAGTCTGTACGTACCTTGTGTCGGGCGGAAGTAGTAGCCGTTGGCCCAGTACCTGACGTAGCACTGCGCCAGGTACACGTCGGCGGCCAGCGCGGTGCCGCAGGTGCCCTTGAGCTGGCCGACCGCCTGCGCCAGGCACGCCGTGCAGTCGGCCGCCGCGAGGTCGCCCAGGCACTGCGCCACGCCCTGCACGCTGCCGGAGCTGCTCACCTTGTATCCGCCGCTGGCCCCGCCCACGCCCTGCTGCAGGTCCCCGAGCACGGCGTCCCGGTTGCTGAGGAACCCGCCGTCGCTGCTGCTGCTGGTGCTGCACTTGCGGTACACCATGGCGGCGTCGGGCGTGCCCAGGAAGTTGGTGCTGTCGTACCGCACGTAGCACCCTTCCAGCTGCAGCGACGCCGCGTACGCCGCCGCGCACACCTGGCTCAGCTGCGCCAGCGCGTCCCGCACGCACGCCGCGCAGTCGGCGCCGCCGCCCAGGTCGCCGCGGCACTGGTACAGACCGTACGCGGCCGTGCCGTTGGCACCCGCCGTGAAGCTGTTGTACCCGGCGTTGGGCGCCGCGCTGGCGATGGAGGCGAGGAGCGAGTCCAGGTTGCCCTCGAAGGGGGTGCCCGGCTGGTACTTGGACGGCGAGCAGCCGGCGTAGATGAACGTGCCCGTGGCCGCCTCGCCGACGCCCGCCGCGCCGAGCCCGATGATGATGGTGGCGGCGAAAACAACCGCAGCGACGCGGGAGCGGCAAAGATGGCTACGCGGGCGATGCATGACTGACGGAACTGCGCGCGTTCTTGCCGTGCGTCGCTGGCTGGCTGGCCCTGGGGCTGGCGAGCAGTGGCGATCGCCCAACGCTTTTCCGAGTCCTTGTCTAGGCAGTGCCAGTGAGGAGAGAGGTGGTGGTGGTGGGGAGATTACACAATAAATGCGCGCTTTCGTTGCGCTTGGGGGAAGCCGGAGGACTTCAGCCTGTTCGGGAGGCCGTATCGTATCGTAGATTATTTATTGCTGGCTGATTTGGTGTGAGAGAAAAACACTGTTCCTGGCTGAAAATTTACGATCGTTTACGAGCAAGCGAACAGGCTGCTTGTGGTGCGCGCGCGGCCTCTCTAGAAATTTTATAGTACGTCGATCGAGTCGAGTCCACACGACGATTCCTGCTCGAACGGCTGGGCGGTGACTCTGGTCTGGCTCCGGTCCATCCGGGGATCATCGTCGTCAGTCAGGCGAGAGCGAGACTACACGAGGCGTAGGCACAGGGGAACGAACGGCCGTCGCTTCTCCTTCTCTGTCTCCCCAGCTGGCGAGATAAGAGTGCAGCATGGGCAGTTGCGTGGCGCGACTCCGACTGTTGTCGCAGACCGGTGACGCCTTGACATGGTAGTAGTATAACATAGCACATATGGAAGCACAAGTACATGGAACAGCAAATAAAGCGGAACTTATTGCATTAGAGAGATTTGGCGAGTTCAGATCATCATCTCATTCAAGGTCCGTCTGGGGTTTCCCTAAGCAAGCTGCTACTATAACATCTTTGACAGCACTGCATGCTTCGATTCCCTCTCTTCGATTAGCTTCAACAAGTCATAATCGCATTCACGAAGAACTGGATTTCCCCCGTCGGAGAGTCGACCCAATGCATATGGCACATGCCACTCATCAAGGTGTGAGAGGTCTTCGCCTTTTGAAAGAAGTAACGTGGCCTCTCTTCTTTTCTCAAGGTGAATGGCTGCTTCCTCTGGATCTTCAGGAACATAAGTGTTCCAGTCGTGCACATACTGTGCATAATATTCGAATATCTTGAACCGGTGAGCCATCTCGGCGTGGTCGCGTTGCTTCTTGAAAGCCTTGCACCAGCGCTCGGTACAAGGCCCATACAGCTTCATCCGACTTATGGCTCCGTTCGCTTTGCTGAAATTGACTGAAAAAATAAGCCAAAGTTGAATTATTATGAGAGAAAAACGCTGTTTCAGCTGAAAATAGAAGCCGAACAAACCGGCTTTTAAGGTAAGCCGAACGGGCCTGTTTGTTCATCGGTTTATGGTGATCGCGACTTGCTTTCGCGTGATTCGAGGATTTGTGTGTCCGTGTATCCTGACCGATTCTGGATCGGCGACCCGGGGAGAGGATTAGTAGGCCCATCGTTGTTCGTCCGGGTGTGATCGCTTCCACGACTCATAACAGTGGCACGTACTATGACACTAACGCCAATTATACAGGGGTTACTTCAGGGCAGCCCCAAAGCAGGCTAACAGCTGCGTTAGCCTTAAATAAAAGTGCAATGCCATGTAGATAGAAAAATCTGGGACATATACTTTTCAACTCAATGTACTGCTCGTCTGTCCTCTTTGTTTTGCATGCACTGAAAAGTATCTGCTATTTTTGTGGCATGACGTGCAGGGATTGGATGAGGCTTGGTGTGGTCCTATTAAAATGTGCGCCAATACTCCTCTTCACTAGTGGTCTGAACTTTTTGTCAGATGGGGCTATCGCCTTCAGCCTTCTCTGCAGATCACTCTAACGCACTGCGAGGCTGCTATACAAACCGACGTGGAGGCCGAGTGCTTATGTGTTGGTTGAGGCCACACCACAGGTTGGAGCGTTGGGGTCGGCCTCAGCAGCAAGCCGGCATTGATCCCCGGCTGTAGGTATGGTTCAATGGGAGGGATCCACCGGGAACTACTCGGCCGCATCTGCTTATGGGGCCATGTTCCTTGGCTCTTCGCCGGTCAGAGGCGCTGCACAGTTGTGGAAGACGGCTGCACCGCTCCGTGTCCGCTTCTTCTATTGGCTGGCTTTGCAGGATAGATGCTGGACCGGCGAGCGTCGTCACCGCCATGGCCTTCAACCAACGGACGCTTGCATCACCTGCAACCAGGAGCCAGAGACAATTGATCACATCTTGCTGGGCTGTGCGTACAACCATGAGGTTTGGGCGACATGGATGGACTGGCTTCACTTGCCTAATGTGGATGTTCGCCCGCAACCGTTCATGGAGTAGTGGCTGTCCAATAGGAAGCGCGTCGACAAGCACTTCAGGCGCGGTCGTGTTCTTGATCGGTTGGATGCTCTGGAAACAAAGGAGCGCGAGGACCTTCGATGGCAGTACACGTACAGCGAGGGAGCTCGCCGTGGACATTCGCCTCGTCGTGGAGGACTGGCGAATGGTGGATCTGAGTAACAACATCATCCTTCATCGGACGCCGACGCTGAGCGCAGTCCCGTGGAGTTCTTAAATTTGGTTCAATCATGTAGTACCCTGTGTTGTCCGATGGGTGCGTGTGTGTTGGTCTTGGTAATCAGAGTATTACCGAGTTTGTTGTTTCGCTTAAAACTCTCTTTCTCCTTAATGAAATACGCGTCGAAAGGAGTCGTCTCAAAAAAAAAATTATGATGGATGCACCTACTACGTGCATTATCGGCAACATCGAACTTTCGAAGCGTCTAGAGCACTATGGTTTCCTTCCATTGCAGGATGACACGATCGAGCGCGGGCTTTACTGGATTCCTCGAGATAAAAACAAAAACGAGCACGGAAACAAAATTCAGTCGCGCAACAGCTAGGCGGACTCGAGACCGGACTGGACTCGGACCGGCGACAGACGTGCAGACAACGGCAACACTCCCCCTCCGCCTTTTCAGCGCTCTACTACGTAGTACGCACCCGCGAACGCCGAACATGCCGCAAAATCCTGGGCCCGTCTTGGCGCGTGCCGCGTGACCGCGTCGCCGTTCTATCGCGTCGATTCCATGGAGAAGCATACCCCCTGCGCCCCTCGTTGTCGATTTCCGAAAACTCAAATGTAATCAATTTTAATTTAATATATAAAAAACATAATAGAGTTATTTATAGATACAAATATTATTAATATTTTTTATAAATCTAGTTAAATTTAAAAAAAATTAACGAGCATATTTCTCATAGCAACAAATAAAAAGGGTAAGAGAAAGTAGTACTACGAAGGCTTCATTCGCCATATTGAAAAAACAATGCCAAAACATTGTTCCAACCGATTTGTTGTGAAATAAAAATACTGCTTAGAAATTTGAAAAAATAAATTAAAAAGACGGATTATAAGACATACGAACAGGACCCCAGTGAGGGCCCAGGGGCAACCGCGACATCTGTTCGTTGTGGGTTTAAGCCACTTTTCAGGCTTATGCTGCTGTGTGTACTTTTATTAAGGTGTGATTGGATGGCACATGTTTGCTATAGTTGTTAGAGCATCTCTAAAAATCTGGTATCGTTTACTTGCTAAACTAATAGATCTAGCAAATTAACTGAAGAAATAATAACTTTAAATTTTATTTTTTTTCAACATGTTTTTATAATAGCTTTCTAGACGATTTTGCATTGGGAATCGCAACTATTTCTAACTAACTAAAAATTTTTAATAGTTTTCTTCTGCTGCTTTCTGACCTATATTCTTTTATTTTCTTAATTTACGTATGCGTCCAATTTACTTGATCTTCTAAGAAAAAAAGTCTAGCGGGGGCTGGATATAGGCCCCGTTAATTGTCTTACAAATGGCTTGTTCGGATTCTTTTTCAAATTTAAGCAGTTGTTTTTCCCTCATAACAATTCAACCGAACAAGTGTTTTTTCAAATTGGGTTTAACCAAGTTTGACCAAGTGACAGGGCCTCTCTCGATTGTGTGGTAGCCATTGGATGGTAAACAAAGTTCCTTTTTTTTAAAGGTAAAAAAGCTCTTGAGTGTTCTCACCCCTCAAACACACACGGGTACTCTGTACACAGCTTCGGGGTTTGTTTTTTTTGATGAGTGGAAGCTTCGGGGTTTGGGTGTCACGAAGATAATGGACACGGTTGCCAAAAACTCAAAATCAGGGTGCGTTGGGGTCAAATGGATTACTCTCTCTATATAGCCCATCTTGGCTTATACTTCAGTCTGGGCCTTAGAAATCTTCGGCTTCATTTTTGCACGGACATGAAATCACGTTAGGGGCCCTCCACACGATTTGTGGACTTGTGGTCATGAAATAATTCTGTTGACGAGGCCCAGTATTTACTTCATATTAGGGCCAGTACATTTCCCGAAGTAAGGCCCAAAATCTGTTTTTGATGGGAAAACATTGTGGCCCTGAAACTGCCGTGCTGGTTGGCCCAGGTCTTCGGTCCTCATTTAGCCATGCTTCAGAGTTCCGAACGAAAGCATCTGCAGCAAGCTGTTTCGAAGTGCTTGGATAGAAAATTTTGGCGGAGTTAGGACTGGAGGGCTGCAGGCTAAAATCTTCACACCCTTTCGGAGGCACCGTTGAGTTCTCATATTATGTCACAGTCTGGTGTGTCTGGGTCTGGCTCGAACTCGTTTGAGCCCTGATGGAGTCAGGCAGCTGATCGTCTTTACTCCTGAGGAATCAGCAGTATCGAGTTTCTTTGCCTAACTCCATCTTGTGTGCTAGGCTACCCTGCTGGTATCTTTAAGATTGAGATGTACTCCAGGATTATATATGTGGAAATCTTTCGCTTTGTTCGCTTGAATTTATCAGTCCGTCTTATCGGCCATGTTACCGTGTTTTTCTCCCACAACTAAATCTGAGAATGGATCGTGTAAATCCAAAGGCCGAAAGGACCCCCAAACTCACGGGCCTAATTTTACGGATTGCATATGAGCCATGTAAACAAAAGATCGAGTTGGATTGGATTAACTTGTAAAAAGAAAAAAAAAAGCTGGACTGTAGATATGGCCCGAGTCGTTGCGGATCGGTGAACGAGGTCGGCCCGAGGATCCTGGAAACGGATTCCGTCTTTACGCGTCTCCCTCGCAGAGTCACAGTCGAGGGGCAGCCGAGCGGGGCGGGTCCTTGGGAGCTGAGGGGCGGCGGCGGCGCAGGTTGAGGAGGAGGCGGCGGCAGCAGCAGCAGCAGCGATTCGGTGTCCGAGATCCTTCAATCAGCGGCATCGCTTCTCCATCCATTGCCATCGCTTCCTCGGGCGGCGGTAGCCCGCGATTCCTCGGCCCTATTATCATGAAAACAAATTAGGGCCAAAAGATTAGCAGCTCGCGCCAAAAATCCCTCCCACTCCAGCAACAACTCCTCATAAAGCTCCGCAAAAGCAGTAATTTCTCCCTCGTGCAGTTGTGCACTCCTCGGCGGAGGCTCCAAGTTGCGGCACGGCACCAAAATCCAGGCGGCGCAGCGAGGCGGCGGTGTGTCTTGCCCAGCGACTCGACTCCTCTCTCGTCTTGCGCGGGGCATCTGGTCGGAAGGCGGCGGCAGGTCATCTCCGTTTCGCGGGGAGCGGAGCAGACGAGATGATGATTGTGGGGGAACAGGGTCTTGCGGGTTGCAGCTTTGGTCTGGTTCTTTCTTATGCTGCAGCTTATCTCCTCTCCGTTATCTGTTTATTTCCTCAGATTAGAACTTGACCACTTGTCTTTTTGTTAGCAGATCATCGCTGCACACGTCTTGAGAAATCCAGAGCAAAAGCTATAGGTGCAGATCTGCTCATGTTCTTTTTGTTTCTTTTATCTAAATGGATTATTTTATTTAATTTACACCTTTCTAGACTGATCTCCTTAAGAACGGATTGTTTATTTGTATTGGTCTGCTTCCATCTGTGATATTGGTCAATGCTTTTATCTGCTATGATGCACACGGTTAAAGTCATCTTCATATCAGTATAAAATTTATTTTAGTATTACATGATTCCTTTCATTTATTATATCTTTTAATTTATCAATTACACATGTGTTATTCAATAAGTACTGGGTTTATTTAATTTTAATAGCTGATACACAGAGAATGGACGGTGATTTCATCACGGTTAAAATTCATGATGGGGGTTCATTTTCAGAAGAAGGCCCACTTTCTTATGATGGTGGCCAAGTGAGCATTTTTAGAAAAATTGACTGAGAGAACATCATTTTTTGACATAGTAGATATGGGCAAAGAAGTAGGGTTTCAAAATGGAGATGAATTTTTTTTATAGAATTCCCTTCTTTGACCTTGAAAATGGTCTTGATTATATTCTTGATGACCAATCTGTTGCAACAATGCTACGTTATGCAAAGAGAAGTGGCTCCATTGTAAATTTGTTTGTAAATCATGAAAACAAATTTACAAACATTTTGCAGTCAGCTGTACTATTATCATGAAAACAAATTAGGCTTATAATTTTTTGTGAAATTCAGCTTCTTTGCGTCTTACTTTAGTATCCTATCTAATTGATTGCCATTCATTGGTTCAGGGGACTCTAATTGATTAGTCTGAGTGTTTGATATTATGGAGAGGGTTTGATCAGCAACAAAGATAGCAGAAGTTGAGGATAGTCTTGATGCTATCTCCACTTGATCGGTCGGGCGGTCAGGGAAAAAGAGGGCTAAAGTTTGGGCTTATGTTGACTCGGAAATCGTTGATGGAATTGAGAAGGCTGTGTGCAAGTATTGCAAGCTCCGGTCGTTTTCAACTCTTCGCTATGGAGTTGTTTACTCATCTGGAATATGCAGAGTTGAGAGTACTAGAGTAGTTGTATCTAGCTGGCATTTTCTTACTGATGAGGTCTTAGATATAGTTGAATTGCCGTGTGGCTCTGAATGAGTTGTTTTCAACTACTAGCGATATCGTTGTTTCCTATCCTATTATTTACCATCAGCATTCTAAAGTTGCCATCATTGTTTAATTGCTTGAGTAGTCAGCAATGCTTTGATTGTGAACTGTAATAGTAAAATGTACCTATATTCAGAAATGCTTTGATTTTACTTTAGCTATTCTTCTACATATGTTACTTCAACAATGCTACTGCTAAATGTCCTCCACTAGCAACATGTGTGTCCTGTCCAAGTTGGTAAAGAACATGATTTTTCTTAAGTTCGACACTAGTACCGTGATATGAAATTTTTAAGGTAGAGCATAATGCTTGCTTTCATTCTTAATTTGGATTGTAGGCTACTAAAACTGTTATTACATATTTTCATGATCTACACAATTAATTGTGATTATAGCCATGTTAACTTCAAAACCAGCTCCATGTCATTTTCCTGCTCTATATATTCAGTACATGCAAGCTCTGTTCTTTTGTAGCTCCATTCAGCAGTTAGGCATTGTGTTGTCTGAATTTTGCAGCACGTCAGTGCATAGCTTTGCTCTGGTTTCAGGTTTGCCTGGTGCAGTTCGAGTGAGAGGAACTGCAGTGCATGAACTCATTTGTATGCATTGTCATTTCCATGACACAATGATCACTAGTTAAATAATTATTGCATGTTTTGTCTTAAGTGCTTATTTACTGAACTGAGCAACGTCTAGCCTTTTTAGCTAGCTCATGTGATGTCTCGGTATGCATGCATATATGTACTGTATTGATCTCATTTGGTCACTAGCATATCAGCGGTACTTTTGGAAGTTTTGAGTTAATCTCTGTGCTGATCCTTATTTGCTCTTGCCGATTAAAAATATATGCATGTGTTTCAGCTCATATATGTACTTGCTCACTTAGGTTTATTTCTTGGGAGGCAGCTGTGTGTAACCGGTTAATTAGTGATTAATTAATTCATGCTTTGCCGTTCTGCTTCTGTGCCGCTTTGACAACACAATGCCTAATGTGTGCTGAAAATGTCCAAATGTGTGTTGTCTTAATGTGTGGGGCTGGTTATGGTGAGGTGTGGTGGTTGCTGTTTTTCAGTTAAGTTATCATGTCTTGCTGTTTTCTATTGCTTAAGTGCTTGTACTCATTTCCTGTCATTTGCAACAACTGCTGCTTCTACTACTCTCCTATATGGCAATAGCTGCTGCTACTTTAGATAGGCAATAGTCTTCTTAGTACAAAGATAGGCATGAGTACTTCTGTTCATGCTTTACATGTTTCTTGCATTTTAGATTTTGAAATAAGATTTTCAGTGTTGCTATGTTTCAGGTGCAAGGATCAAATTATTTTGGAAGAAAACTGGTAGTTCTACAAGATGCAGCTGGCAGCCTTACAATGGCATTGTTAGTGAGAAATTGTGACTTATGTCATTCAGAGAAGGACAATGTCATTCAGAGAAGGACAATACATATTTGCATGACATTATTTCTTATTTTCTTGAATTAAATCAATTTGCACGGACATATGTAGCAGATGGATGGAGAAACTTGGATCCGGCTACATGTTATTTTTTATTATTTTTCATCTTTTTAAATTAAATTAACATATCAGTGCTAGTGGCCGTGCTCGTGATTTGGTTAATCAGGGCCTTGTACTCATTGCATTACTGTACATGTGCTTGCTTGTGAGAGCCCTCAGATTGCATTTAGGATCCGGCCCGAGGATTCAAAAAGGGCTGGGGCTGGATTAGGATGGTGCGACGTGTAGGATTGAATTGAACCGAGCTGAAACAAATCAGTAGGTGCTAGGATCGGGCTGGGTGTAATAATTAATCACATAGGATTGGAGTGGGGTTGGGGCCGGATCACAGCCCATTATCAGGCGGACCCACGACAAAACAACATCATCTTGTTTCTCCTAGTTGATTGCTCTCGTCTTTTTCCATAAACGATATCGTGTGATACTGCCTAAATATTCCCTCTGAGTTCGGTTTGCACCCCCAGAGAGTACAGTTTGCGCTTATATACTACTCATCAATCTGAAACAGTAGTTCTTGGCTGGGCCATCCCTGCACGTCGCATCAGACTGAACCGTACCCTGCAGCTAGTTTGGGCTTGATTGGCTGATAAGTCATGTCTAAAAGTACTGTTGGTTGATTTGGTGTGAGAGAAAAATACTATTTGTTGGCTAAAAAAGTATGGCTTATAAACCAAACAAGCCCAAACGAAACAGGACGATACTATCCGGTCGTCACGCATCCGGGTGCCGGGTCTATCTATGCTTTGTCTTCCATTTCTTTCTGACATTTACCGGAGCTAGCTATGTCGAGGTCAAAATAAAGTACTCCAAGCTTGCATTACCACCACATGAAAACGGAGTGTTTTGACTCGATCCGCAACGAGTACGGACACCGCGTCGTCCTGTTCTTGTCGTCCTAGAGTTGCAGAAACGATACAGTCTCGATCTGGATAGCACCACATAACCAACGCTAACCCAGTCCAGATATAGATATAGTCATATATATCATCATCCAGCTCAACTATGTCAATCTGCCATGACGCATAGCATAGGCCGTAACGAAACTCTCCATTTTTTTCGTACCTGCCGTGACCCTTCCCTGACATCGGGATCTAAGCAGTGATGAGCTGCTGCTTTGTATGCTCACTTGTCCAACCGTGCTGCGCTCTTCTGGCTTAATAACGGAGGTGGTGGAATTGAAAAGGGACGCGATGGAGCCGTACGCCCTGCAAAGACGACGTATATCTTCCTTTTTCCGAAAGATGGACGGCAGATTTTCTAGGAATAGTTCGGCTTTCTTGATCGCCTAACAAAATGCATAGCAGCAGGATATCGTTTTTTTCCCCTCTGATGAAAGACCCGGCGGGCCGGGCGTGTGTGAACGCTGATATGCCCGTGGTCCGGCCCGGCGGAGCGCCAATCCTGGGCCCCAGGCGGAGGAGCGAGATCGGCCGGGGAAAGACGAAAAGGGACGTGATGGACGCCACGCCAGTGCACCACGCGCGCCGCGCGAAACGGCGATCACAACTTTTTGGCAAAGCCGGGGAGATGTCGCGGCTCTATCTTCTTTTCTCTATCTCTCTCTCCGGTTGGACTCTGGAGGCTGGAGGCTGGAGGCTGGAGGCTGGCCTGCGCTTGCGTGTCGTGGTGGTGCGCGGCCGCATGATTGCGTCCGTGCAGCCCCCACGCCGGAACGGTGAGCGCGCCCGTTCTTTGCTGCCGCCTGCCGGGACCGGGATGTATCTGCCTTGCCTTGCCTGCGCGCCCGAGCCGTCAGCGGCGCGTTTGCCCCGTGAACGGACAGCGGCCTCCTTGTACGATCCCGTGATTGTTGCTGTAGAATTCTGGTAGTGCACAGCAGCCGCCGCGCGTCCCCGTCGACCAGGCGCCAGGAAATCTCGTCCTGCTCCCTGCTGCCAGCGCCAGGGGCCAGGGCGGTGCACTGTACTCGCCGGGCACACGACGGAGCTTATTACCAGTCACCACGCACGCACGCTTCCTCGCGAGCAGGACAGGGACAGGGACAGTGACGCCTAGCGAGGCCAGCCAGCCCCCCGCTGGCGTGCTGCGTGCAAAAGCGGAGCGCGGCCGAAACGGCGTGCTCCAACTGCCCGACTCGATCCATCCTGATTCCGGCGTGGGGTACGGTACGGTTCGTGCAGTGGTTGGCGCACCGTTTTCACCGCCCGAGCACGCTGAAATCTGGATGGCACACTTTTCCGGGCATCTGATTCTGGCGTATTCACTATGCAGCAGAGGCAGTAGGCATGAGACGAAATCGAAGAGAGTAGACATCGGCTTCATGAGAAGTTTGCGGTCAAACGAGGCACACAAAAAGACACAGCATTTGCTCTCGTAATACTCCAGTACTACTGGGATTGGCAAAACGTGGAGGATTCATCACACTCGGTCAGCGACAGTTGGATGATCCGCGAGGAAGCGCATCGCATACAGGGGAAATTCCAGCGGTTTGAAGATGAATCGGCGTATTCGGGACAAGAATATAGGCATCGACGAACGAAGAAGAGTAGCGGATGGGATGCATCAGTTAAACAGGACCAAGAATGGAAAGAACAAAATCAGCTAGGCTCAGGCAGCCCCGTTCTGATGGAAACACCCATATGTACACCATCCGCCTCCCTCCGCCGCCGGCCGGGCGGCGGTGGTGGTCAGGGGCCTTCCCTCTGTCCCCCCCCCCCCTAACGACTAGTGCCCGCCTACCACCTGCTGAAGACCTTCTTCCCCGCGGCGGCCAGGGCCGCGGCCTGCTCGAACCGCGCGGCGGGGCAGGGGATGGTGATGACGCCGGGGTGCTGGAACCCGAACTCCTCCTCGGCCTCCCTGAGCAGCTCGCCGAACATGGGGTGGTTGAAGTACACCACGGGGACCACGTACCGCAGCGACTGCGACGCCTCCTCGCCGCCGCCGACGTACACGGCCACCTGCCCCTTGGGCGTGGTCACCACCTGCTCGCGGCCGTCGCCCAGCATCCGGTGCCCGCCGGCCCTCCACCCGAGGAGCCTCAGACGCCGCGCCAGCGACCGGCCCCACCGCAGCACCGGCGCGAGCTTCCTCGCGGCGGGCTCGGGCGTGCTGGGCTGCTGCTGCAGACGGCGGTAGCCTCCCCGGCGCCGGCGCCGGCCGCAGAGCGCCCACCGACACAGGCCGAGCAGCTTCCGGCCGAGACGGACCCCGCCGTGGCGGGACCTCCTTAGCATGGCGAGGAGGATTGGAAGAGACCGCGGAAAGATCTCTCCTTCGTTGAGCAGAGCAGACGCAGGGCGTTAATGGTGTGGTGCGGAGCTGCAACGGAAGCGCGCAGGAGACGAGACGAGACGTCGTGAGGGTGAGGGCCTGCCGCCTGAGAGGAAGGAGTGTGAACCCGGAGGGGGACCCGGGCTGTTTTATAGAGCGCCGGGGCACACGCGCGAGTGGAAAATTGGACCGGGGGGGGGCTCGGTTTGGCCTGGCTCTGCTTGCCCACTGGCAGACTGGCTTGATATCGCAGTTGGCTTGGATTTGCCGGGCTCTCGTCGTGGCCAGGCGGCGTTTGTTCGTAATGGCTGGTGTGCCTCGGACGGTGCGTGGTCCATGATTCCTTTGGCTCCGCACACATGTTGCCCGACCTGAATTTCTTTATTTCATCGATTGATCTAGGCCCCTTGAAGGGTGCCCATCAAGGTTAAAGATACATCATCAGAGTTCGTGATCTCAATTACATAGATGTACTAAGTATAGACACTATGCATCTGCTACAGCTCTGTCTTTCTTTGGCAACCGCATCCCCCGTATCTTAGCATCAGCTTTTATCAATAAAATGTCTGCCGTAGTGTAGCCGCCTCGTCTCTAAACACGACGCCGTTCCATATATGCCAATAACATAGGCCATAAAAGTACTGAAATGATGTTTTGGGAAGCTTGGAGGGCATTGGACGCTGATCATATACGTCCATTAGAAGACGGTTGATTAGTTTGGAACACAAGCCGCTGCCAGAATTCTTGAGCAAACGAGCAGTCAAAGACAATGTGTTCACCTGTTTCCTCTTCTTGGTTGCAAATTTCACAGACTGGGCTATCTACAACGGTCTTACGGCAAAGATTCACTCGACATTGCACCCTCCTATAGATCAGAAGCCAAACAAAGGTATGGTTAACCCTCCTAGGTTGCTTTGTGCGGTTTCCTTCCAAACAACTTTGTTTCGTGGGCACTCCAAAGGTATGGTTAACGCGGAAGGAACGCGCCTCATCCATCGATAGTGCTAGTTTACTACCGAAGTTACTTGTTCTTTTATTATCGGCCATGTCGATTGTCGATTGTTTAGCGCGTGTTCAGTTCCAAAAATACTTCCAAAAAAGTGCTACAGTATCCGTCACATCGAATCTTGCGATACGTGCATGGAGCAATAAATGTAGACGAAAAAAAAACTAATTGCACAGTTTGGTTGGAGATCGTGAGACGAACGTTTTGAGCCTAATTAGTCCATGATTGAACACTATTTGCCAAATAAAAACGAAAGTGCTACAGTACCCAAATTCCAACTTTTCCTCCAACTAAACACAGCCTTAGTATTAATAGCATTTTCTTTAATTTGGTGTAACCGGGAATGTGATATGTCTTTGCTAGTACGTATGTACGGACACGGTACACAAGCCGAGGCCTGATGTCACAGAATATTAACCCCAGCCCCAAGTCCAAATCCACCTCGTTTTCGTACCGCCCGCCAAAAAAGGTTGTCCCCAGACTGTACTGTCATTTTTTCATCGAGGTGGCGATTGGCTAAACACAAACACTTTTTGGCAAAAGAAAAGCTATCTGTTACGACAGTTACTGCTGAGTGACGGTGAGCTCGATCACACCGGTGCCTCGGATCAGCTCGACTGTGAAAAAAAAATCACGTCAGATGGATGTTTCTAGGGATAGCAGCGTCATTTTACGTCAGTCTTGATTTGCGTGCCTAAACCTAGATGTGCAAATATTGTGGGACTGAGGGAGTACGTTCAGGGAGCAAAGTCTTGCCCAGATCTGAAGTGTTGCCACAGATTGCCCCAGCACGGCCTGCGGGCTGCTGCCCTGCAACTTACGGAAACGGGAGCCGTGTAGTCCACATCTGGGGCAGAAAAACCAGACACCCGGTGTGTCACGTCACGTGTGGATCCTGTCCGGTTGTGCCGGCTCCGCCTACTCCCGGTAGAAGTGGAATGGAACTTTCGTGGAAGACCGTACTACGAGCTCAGTGGACTGTGGACTAGTACGGAGTAGACGATTTCTTGATTTGTTAATGAGATGGCACCTGACCTGACACCCATGTTTAGGCACGTGCTAGTGCCAATTTACTTGCACGCATCAGCTGTTGCCTGCCTGCATGGCGATTGGCGAGTCATCCCAGCCACCTGGCGGACTCGTTGAATGTTTTGAGCGCGGTGGGCGGCGGCGGCATATTCACCTGCCCCCGCGCGCGGTTAAAAATTGCGAGGAGACGATCGATCGCCTTTGTCGGCAGATCGAGTAAAAACACGCCTCGTTGATTTGTAGAACTACTAGGAGCGAGTAGTATATATTTTTCTCCTACATGTGATGTGCGTGGTGACGCGGACGTAGCATAGTACAGTTTTGTGGGATCTGAGAAGAAGGAACCCCACTGTCTCCGGGTTCCGGGTTCTGGAACGCCTTGATCTATCTGATGCCTGCGTTGAATGAATGATCGATCCATCAGGCCGGCGTCCAGGTGACGCAGTCACGCAACTGGACATAGAAAGGGCCAGACTGCCACATCCACATCCCGGTGGAAATTCTGCAACCTGTTCGTTTTGCTGTGGCTCGTCGTAAACGATCGTAAATTTCCAGTTGAAACAGTATTTTTCTCTCATACAAACCAGCCAACAGTACTTCTTCACGAACCAGCAACGAAACGAACCATCCAACCGAACAGACTGCTGGTCTTCCTGCTGAGCTAGATCAAGCAACGGATCAGTCCTGTTCGTTTTAACTACTTTTCAGCCGGGTCAGCTTATTGCTTACGTACCCGCCGAACATCTCGTACGCAGATGACTTCATGGCATGTACCAGTGCGTACTAGCTAGTACTAGTACGTTTTCAGTTAGCCAGTGCTCGCTGCTCGTTTCATCATCGGTGCTGGTACGTTTTTCCCTTCCGCTCGTACGGAAATTCGTCCGGTTTGTTTGGACTCGTTTTATAAACCATGGCTGAAAATACTTTGGCTGGTTTGGTATAAGAGAAAAATATTATTGTTAGCTAATAAACCATGGCTTATAAACCAAATACGACCAAATGAACATGCTGATTATCTGGTCGCCCCAGAGTCCCATCAATATACCCATCGCGATGTTTACGCACCGGTCCGCACGCTTGCCGGAGGACGTTTGCGGCCGCGAGGAATATCCGTAGAGAAACGCACGACTCCCGCTCCACCGCCAGAAGGAAAACACCGATTTTCCTCGAGCCCCCGCCACCCCTTGCGCGCACGCGTCGCGGTCGGCGGGCCGGCGCTCTACAGCTACGGGTCGGAGGGAGGTCGGAGCCAAGATTTTACGGCGGACCACCCGCGAATCCACCCAGAATCCGGGCAGCCGAGGGGGAATGGAGGGGCTCCTCTCATCTCATCTGTTTCCTGCGGTGGCGGGGAAGAGCGGCGAGGTAGGTAACAACCGAGGTAGGCAGAGCTGGCGGGGCCGGGGTGGTGGGCGACTCGATGTCGACGGCCAGCAGTACCCGCGGCCGCAGCGCCGGGGGGCGCGGAGCTAGCAATCCGACAAAGCGAGCGAGCGCGGCTGGATGCTGCCCAAGTGGATGGTACGCACGGTCTACGGAGCAGCAGACAAAACGAGAGCTGCCGTGTCCACCCGCCAAACGTACATGGCATTGGAGGCAAGATCAGGTGGTGGTGACGGACGAAGAGACTATTTTTATGTACGTTTGCCGGGGCCTGGAGCGCAACACACCAAGCATGGCGAAGGTTCGCTGCAGGGCGGCAAAGTGCCACTGTGCCAAGTGCAACCCGGGCAGAGAAACGACAACGCAGCACTCTAGTCTACTTCCTGTCTTCTCCGGCGGGGTCACGCAGTCGTTTTTTATTTTTGAGCTGACGAGGATGGGCGCAAGTACAGATCAGACTCTTCAGGTTGAGCGTATCAGATTCAGATCAGTGTAGAAGTAGGTACTCTGGCTGATACTAGTTTGGAACCGGCGTTGTCAGTTTAGCATTTCTGCTGCCCGGGAGTAGGTACTCTGGCTGCATGTGTCTGCTGTCTACCGTTGGCTGATTTATTGTGAGAGAAAAATATTGTTCGTTAGCTAAAAAAAATACGGCTTATAAGCCAAACGAACAGGACGTGTGTTCCGTGTCTTCGAATGCATGAAGGTAGAGTAGCAATCAAGTCAGTTGCGATCATATATGGGTCGTCTTCTTCTCTAGATACTACTTGCACATACAGCATCTCCCAGTTTCGATAATTGCTATGTCTAGTAGCTCCAGAATGTATAGCAACTTCGTGACCACTTGGAGCTGAAGATTTGCACGCAGTACAAAAGATAGTACAACAGCAGCCCGCAGGATAAGCCAACCCTTTCAGTCTCGAGAGGCTTTGGGCGATTCAATTATTCAAAAGGCAAGCGGAAGAATCCAAAACATATCCACGATCAGATATGCATACTACTTGTGCCTGACGACGCTTGGACTAGTCGCCACTCACCAGTACACACCGCAACTTGTCAAGTGCACGAGCACCACTTGCATTGGGCTCCAGAATATTCAGCCGCGCTTGAGAACACGGAAACTGTATTGACGCAGCAGCAGCCAACAGGGCCCCGATTATTCTCCGTGCAGCCGTTGCACGGGGCCGTACCCGGGCCGTACGGTCCTCTCATCCTGTCCATCATGCAGGCGTGGCGCTGGCGCCAGGTCTAACCGTCCAAGGTTGGCGGCCGGATCAATCCACTGTTTGTCAACAGACGTCCCAGAGCTTCTGCTGCACCCGCTCAAAAACCGGACAGCCATACACACGCCTTCTTCTCTCTGCAAGGTCAACTTCTGTAATTAATTTTCGTTTTCCTTAGATAAAAGTCAGTTCCTGTAACCAACCACAAAAAAACGTCACAGTGAGAAAGCCAGCTCGATGGTAAAGGCCCGTTCGGCTGCTTGATTTCCGGCTGCTGGCGGGTACTGCTACAGTTACCGGAATCAGCCGACACGGTGGATTCTGCCCAGCTTCAGCCGATCAAATAACAGCAGGTGTTTGAATTCAAAAAAATAGCGGCAAAGGCAACATTTTTTCAATTCAAACACATGCCAGCATCCAATTACAGCCCTTACAACATTCAAATGAATTGAAACAACAACAATGCTAACTCATGGCGGTTCTCCATGACAGCACTTAGGCCCCGTTCGTTTGTCTTATAATCCGTATTTTTCAGCCGGAACAGTGTTTTTCTCTCACAATAAATCAGCCGGAACAGTGTTTCGGTTTGTTTTTTCAGCGAAGCGAACGGGGCCTTACATCATGTACTGGTATAGCGAGCAACGTATGCACGTAGGTCCATGCTCACAGTCAAGAGAACGTTTTTCTGTTGAGTACTGAAATGTGTTTTGTCGTGCATCACCAGCAAGGGTATCAGAGCATCTCCAGCAGTTCCCCAATACCTCCCTCTATCCCCATAAAAATATCATATCAGGAACAGCTATGCTTTTTCCTTGCTCCAACAGTTTTCCAATATCTCTCTCTTTTTTTTATGGTCACCAATGTTTTCCTTCTCTCCTTAAAGAAAGGGGGAGATACAACTCCTCCAATACCACGGGGACTATCCCAACTACCACTTTTCAACTATATTTTCTCTTATACTCTTATGGGACCCACCTTTTATATGGAGATTGGGAAAGATATATTGGGTACCCACCCGTCAATCGAGGCCGTACGGATAGCTGACTTTGAATGATCAAGTTGAGTCGGTGGCAGTGCCACATCAACTTGTCTTGGTCGAGGTCTGAACGCCGGACGCCCGGTTGGCGGTTGCTTAATAAACTTCAGAGACAAGAACGTGGATAGCGCAACCAACATGAGGCCGTCTTGAGGACGAGCCGTAGCTCAGTTGGCTTCTCGCTGTGGTTCGAGCGGCCGGTCCTCGGAATCAACCAGGAGCCTCACCTCGGACATTTAGTTGCCTCTCGCATAGATGTGCCATAATAATTAAGTGACGTGCCCGTCACACTCGGAGTCTGGTGATCTTCGAGTATCTCTCAACTGCGTTCGTTGTCTAGGTATAGTTGTAGGTTTATTTGTATATCGTGTGTGTGGTGGTGTGTGTCTGTATCCAAACAGATACTATCGTTGTACTTAGACGAGAGGTAAAAAAAAACATGAGGCCGTGTTGCGAATTTTCGATGGAAACTCGACGAAATGTCCATCATCATTTGTCCCGAGCCTCTCAAAAACGCTCCCTGCTTATCTGCAGGCGCGGACTTCAGTCACATATATATTCAGTGGTGCCGGGCAAATTGGGGGTCTCGGACCCTTGGATTATCCTCTGGAAATCTAGGGACTTGGTTGTCTCGTTGATCAGGACAGATGCTCTCCTAGTGGGCAGGGCACTTCGCATTAGTTCCTGCCGCACCTTTTTGCTTTGCAGGTGCACTCCAATTATCCAGGAACGTGAGCACTGAACAGGCATCTCGGGAAATTTTTCAGTGCCTGGGCGTGCAGCAGGTGTACTTAACGAGCTCCCTTCAGCTACAACATGAATCCATCGTACTCGATAAGTATAGCGGTGCACAGTACACGATATTAGAACAGTAGAATTTACAGAATGAACGTCAGAGATCGAAAATGGTATGCACTCCAACATCCAGATAATGCACACAGCATTCAGAAACGCAATTTCTGACACTACTATCTCAATGGCATGGCAGGGCAGGTTTAATGCACCTTGGTTTGTGACAATGTCTGTCCTATAGGGCAACAAAAATTGAGAGCAGACGGTGGGTTTTACTGGCATAGGGTTACACTCTGTGTTTCGTATGTACCAAAAAGAAATATGTTCAGTCGAGCGCCCAACACTCATATTGGAAATTGGGAACACGAAACAACAAACTAACTCATTGTTAGGGCTTCGCTTTGACAATTCTTCATCAATTATCTACACTAGACCTGTAGACCATCCGAGGATGCTTTGTTATTGTACTTCTTCCCGGACATCATTCCTCTTCCTCATGCCAAACCCACATCTACAGATGAATTCAGGGACTGGCCCTTCATTCCCAACAACCCAAGGATGCTCAGCCAAGCAGCCTGCAGCGTGATGCGATCCCCTGGATCTGCAAATCAAGCACATGGAAGGAGGGGGCAGGGACATTGCGTTAACAGAGGACATCTTGCACAAAAACTTAGCAAACTCCAGGTTATCAGAATCATAGGGTGAGAAAGCGACCAAAAAAGGCACCTTTGCAAAGAAGCCTTAGGAGCAAATCAGCAAGTTGGGGGTTCATGTCTCCAGGTATTTGCACAGGATCATTGGCAATCTATTTGTAGCAGACACTCAAGTGAGTTTAATGCAGAGTAAGTAAAAGCAAAAGGAAAGGAAGGAAGGCATTTTTTACACCTTATCATAAGTTTCCTGCAATGTATCCCCAAGAAATGGATAATGCCCAGAAACCATACAATATAAAGTTACACCAACTGCCCATGTATCAGATGCCCGACCATGGTAGGCTGAACCTGCAGTGAAATAAAGAGAGATACTTCTATCATATTTAGCAAGTCCACTATACCGAGCAGCTAAAGAATATTTAGTAATTTAAGTTAATGGCAGTAAAACTCTGGGCTGTTCCATTTTAGTTAATTTGTGATTCTGCGATCATATAGCTACAACAATGGAACATCCAGGAAATGTTGCTTTCCAAAAAACACCATTATATTCATAGATAACCTGATGATTGACTAATTTTACGTGCAGCATTTATATAACTTAAATATCAAAGGTAGTCAGTTGTACCTTGACAGCACTCTGGGGCAGTGAAAACAGGAGTGCCAGGAGATCTCCAAAGCATATCATCATCATCCTACGTTGCAAACACATAAGTATCACTGTACTAATATATCAGTAAAATACCAATATATAAAATTTTATAGTCCAGAAGAATTTGCCACAAAAAACACACATACTTTGAAAAGATTGAATAGATTTACTTGAGTAAAAGAATGTAACAAGTTTCATCCAATGATAAAGTTGTGGGCCACCTACTTTAACAATGAACATATCCAAAACAAGAACAAGAAAAGCATCTTAGTTTGTTTCCAACTCAAGTTATCTTAAAACTACTCATGAGGACAGGGAGCAAAGATCATATTTTAATTTTTTTACATAAATATAAACCTGGTTTGAGGAACTCTAAATCTACAGAGCCATTTTTTACCAGAGCAAGAGCAATTAACGATAGAAAGACGAAATTAGGAATTTATCCCTTTCAACGGTGGATCCATTTAAGTGGAAAAAACAATATTTCCATAACAAGAAAAAAATAACTAAAATACAGAAGTTACAGGAGTACAGAAACCACCTCAAAAACCTGGCTAACACTGAAATCCCCTATCTTCACATTGCCGGCACTGGTAACCAAGAGATTGTCTGGTTTGATATCACCATGAATAATGTTCTGTGTATCAAAAGAAAAAAAATCGGTGTTCCAAGCAAGGGAAACACACAGCATAGTACAAAATTGCATAACATAGAAAAAAGAGGCAATAAAAAACACATGTATAAAGAAATATATGTCCAAAAATGTGGTAGAGAATCATCAACTCGAAATCTGGGAACTGTGGAATTCACTCTTGTAGGGTAAGCACAAATGTGAACCATGGTTGGGAGTTTAGTGCTGTTGTCCTGATGCGGACCAGGATGCCAGGAAACATGGTTTGCATCACGATTGCTACCATGCAGGGGAACGGCCAGATGGCGTTACTTGAATTATCACTAACAGAACATACGCCGACACGCAGGCACTCAAACTAAAAAACACCTGAAAGATTACAAGCGCACCAGGACAAATCAAACAACCGACCACCAGACCGAACAAAGATCAGCACCCAAAGAGACTCCAACTCAGAGGCACCCGCAGAACACCTCTAGGAGAAGCTGACTGACGCTAGGATTCTTGCCCTCGCAAACGCATCCGTTACAGTGTTTCCAAAAGAACAAAGCTATTAGCATGACCGGAGTGGAATACTTTTCACTGATGATTATCAACTAATAGCGTAACCTCAAACCACCTGGACCAGACCAATCGATTGTAAGATCTCCAAACTTACTCCCTCTGTCCCATGATAGATGACGTTTTAGCTCTGGGCACGGGAATTAAGGAGTGGAAATGTTGTAGTGCACAGGAAACGAGAAGGAGAGAGATAGATAGAGGTGCATTGGGAAGTGAGAATGACAACTAATTTGGGACAAGTCTAGAATGCTCGAAGGTCAAGTATTATGGGACGAAGGGAGTATTTAGTGAAGGCACAGTCGACTAGTAAATGTTTAATTGTCTCGTCCACCTGATCACAAAGACGGCACAAATAGCTCAGTGGTTTCAGGCAGGCCTTGGCGCACAAGTCCAGCAGCGGTTATGACAAGCTAACCAAATGAAATATTTCACTATGGGTGATATCCAAGATTTCCAAAGTCTTTGCCGAAATTGAAACTTGGTGGTTCCTGATGCAGAAGCCGACCAGATGTGCTTCTTCCACATCGTCTTGTAGTTCCACTCTAGCTAGAAACTCCAAAATCTGAATAATTCTCCAGAACTTGGATTGTGACAGTTATCTTCCTAGAAATACGTTTGGATATGAGAGCTGCATAATCAACGAGCTGCAAATAAAATTTTCAAAATCCCAGGACTCTAGAAATTGTTCTAAACATAATATCGATCATCTGATATACTATTCGTGTTTCTAAATACTAAACTTTGAAACTTTGACGTGAGTATTCATCTTGACAAACTAGTTATTGAAAATGAAAACTGAGAGCTTACATGAGAGTGAAGATACATAAGACCAGATATTATGTCTCGCAAATAATTTCTTGCAGTAGCTTCTTCTAAACCATTATCACAAACCATTTTTCCTTCAACATACTCAAGAACTGGCAATGCAAATGAAGAAAAAATGTAAATGAGTGATGGGTCATCAATAAAAACAATTGTTTAATAGTGGTAGCATAATTACATACCCATGTAGAATTTATCTATGTTTGGGTCATCAATCACTTCAACGAGATTTACAATGTTGGGGTGATTCAGCATTTTCATTATGGATACCTGTCTCAAAAGAAAAAATACAAACAATGAAAGGGGGGGCAAGCAATTGAATACTGTACACAACAGAAAATGCAGCCTATTAGCATGTAAAATCAGGATCGTATGCTACACATGCAGTGTGCTATCATAGTGCCAGTTACCAAATACCAAGACACTATGCTTCTACATTTTGACAAGAAAATTACCATTGATTCTAACAATATCTCAACCCTTAATCCACCTACATATTGGCGATGGGCCATCTATTTAACCTCTTATGGCAGCTCAAGACTATGAATGAATTTCATCAATTAGGAAAGGAAATGAAGCTACAAATCTGTTTTAGTTATTGTGCTGAGGATTTGTCCTACAAAAATCATATGGCCAATGAAACTGAAAAGGAACTAACAATGGCAGCAAGCAGATAGTTTCTGTGTAAACAGAAGATATACGAACTCTACCCTAGGTCCTTTTTTCTCTTCAGAGGCTAAATGGGGTCCTATTGCACAAAAAGTGCCGAGTTAACTGCTTATCAATATCTGAACATTAATTCATCACTGTAAGAGCACCATACTGAAAATAAATGTTGTTGGTCGCCTTTGTATCATATAAATCCATTCCCAATATGTGAGGTAAACATTCTTATATGCTAATGAGCAAGGTACCTCATAGTTGGTTTTTTGTTAAGTAAACGGAAGTTCATAAACAATTGGGAGACTAAAACAAGATTTCCCGGTACCGATACAATAGAAAAAGTTCCCTACAGTTACATGTTCAAGTATCAGACAGAACAACATCAATTAGCATTTGGAATGGCTAGCTTATGCATGATAGATCCTAGAGAGATGTCTTGAAAGCATGCGCAAAAACTTTAAAAGAAAACTAAGTCACATATGCATGACAAAAAGAAAATATGAGCATTGCATGGACAAATAAGCTGACAAAATCATCACCTCCCGAAGAACATCTGTCATGGCGGTTTCTGTGCGTACAACACGTACTTTCATCATGTAAGGCTTATTCAGAACCTGAAAGAGAAGGGCAAAGGCTAAAATTCCATAAGTGAGACATCAGCACATGCACCCAGCACATATAGAAGGGCTAACAATAACAGTGTTGAGAGCAAAGAAAAGGAAATGGTGAGACTGAACGAAGTCCTGAAGCAAGCAAATTAGTTATCAGCCAAAACATAGAGAAAAACATATTAGAAAGAAACAAAGTATATAACTAATAGCTACCAGTAGAAAATAGCTAATTATGATATTTAACAACAATTTTTAATCGTGAAAGCCTGCTTATATAATGAAAAGGTATCATAAAAAGACATGTATGATAACATCACAAAATAGAGTAGCAGAAAGCACTACCTTCACTGCATACAACTTCCCATCTTTAATGTTTCTGTACATAACCTGTTCAGCAGCAAAGTAAAAGGAATTTAGACATACATTTGGAAAATTTAATATCAACATATCCAAGGTATCTTACCACTTTGCCGTAGCTTCCAGAACCAATCTTTCCCAAGTGGACAAATTGATTGACCATCTTATTAAAATTTTCATCCTTAACATGCCAAAAGTAACAACATTATTATAGTGTTCAATGTAAAAGGTAGATTCTCTCATACAACTTGCTGCCTTCACTCGGCATGCAAAAGTCAGTTATTAGAACTAAGCAGGCAATAAACGTGGCCAAGCTCTTTGATGGCTAATCAGAACAGTGAACAATTAATATCAAATGTTATGTGTGTATATGTAAATAGATCATATGAAGTGAGATTTTGCTGAGAAAGTAAAAACAGGCTTTTCCTATCACACAATAAAGGATGCACATGTTGATTGGGATGCCGGAAAAGATGCATTACTTCTTTATCGTTCCAAAAAAATGGTTAATTTATTCAGCACCCAAAAACGTAAAGAAGATGCACCTATCGCAATCCATCACAAGTGTTCACTTCAAGAGGGTTAGATTGTAGGAATGATACAATGTACAGTTCTGAGTTTTGTAGCAAAATGTTTAGCCAGTCTGCATTCGCAACTACTGATGGGCATGAATAACAGCTCATTTCCAGCAAGAATGTGTGCAACTACTAAGGGGGCACGACTTTTCTGAAGTTTATTTATTTTTTCCAAAAAACAAATTTATGCAAGGCCAAATGGTAAAAAAAACATCGAAAACTAACGGGAGATGTCACATGTCAATTGCTTGATATGATTAATAAGCCAGGTTCTTATGAGTTGGACAACCCATGCATAGATTGGGAAAGAATAGGTGGGATCTCAATAGCATTGTTTCAAATATGGACATGCAAGTAGACAGACAGCTGTACAAAAAATTGAAACCTTAAAAGAGGTACCTCTGAGCGAAATACTTTTTTAGTCTCTTTAACTGGGATCTCTCTACATGCAAAGCCATTTTGAATTCTTGACTGTATAATATCTTCAGAACTCTTCCTCGGTGGTCCATCATCACTTCCCTCAAGATAGTCAGTATCATCTCTACCGTAGAAGCTTCTATCAGGATCATCTCCATTGTAGAAGCTTCTATCAAGATCATCCCCGTTATAAAAGCTTATATCAGGATCATCTCCAGTGTAGAAACTTCCATCCGGATCTTCAGCTGATTGACGCTTCAGTAAATCTTCAGATAACATGCCATCAGCATCCTGATGTTGATGTACAGGTACACTGGGCTTCCTTAAAAAGCTAAAGCAATTGCAGCAACCGATGTCCGTAAGGTCCGCCATTCAGAAAGAGTAGGCACCAGAAACCCTAGAATGACAAAACAGGTAACAATGTTAAAAGAAACATCGGAATTGGAAAGCCATTTCTCTGCTACTTTCCTGGCTACCGGATCACCGCTGCAGATGAGATGAAACTACAGTAACAGCATACATGCAGAAACAGAAATATCGTTGCAGTTAAACTTGATGCCAGAAAGCCACACCTCAGAGGCTCAGACATTCCACTCCCACACAGATTAACCAGGTGGAAGTACTTAAACACAAAGAGTATCAGCACGTAATCGGCATAAAATTGCTAGGGTTAAACTTGGGCCCGGTAACAACGTCAAGGGATTCCACCTCCTAGCAGTGGCGGACCTAACCAAATTGATCCGATTCCATTCAATTCTATGACAAAAAATTTCATTCAATTCTATGACAAGAAATTTTATTCAATTCTATGCTCCGATTTCATTCACAGAAACAAATCCCTAACAAATAATATTGAATCACACATCAATTTCACATATAAACAATCCCTAAGCCCAAATTTACAGTCCAGTGCTCGCTTTCAAACCCTAGGGTACGAGGTTTCGGATTTGCGAAAGCTCAGAACTTCAAAAGCACACTCACTGACTCACCGGTCCAGGGGCACTGGAGCGCTACTCTGCAGCTTAGCGCACCCGGCGGCCGGCTTCGGCGACGCGCAGCCTGCTCAGCGTCTCGGCGCACAGGCTCGGCAACGGCGACTGGCGCCAGGCCGCCAGGTGGGGCGGCGGCGGGCGGCCGGCGGCGTTTCCAGTCCTCCGCAAACGTAAATCGGCCTCGGTGCTCGGGGGCGGCAGTGCTCGCGCTGGTGGAGTCCGCCGGGGCGCCGTCCGGCTCACGGTCGAGTGTCGCGGCCTCGGGGACACGGCAGGTTTCGCGCAGTCGCGCTGGGACTCGCGGCCTCAGGGCCTCGCGACGGGGATGTGGGCTTCTTTCAGATCTTTCTTGGGCCAGATATTTTATGAGCTATAAAGTTTTTGGGCCAGATTTTCTGGGCCTACCTGGACTACCTTTGGGCCGGCCACTGCCTCCCACACAAATTAGCACCAAATAAAACTAGCCAACTAGCATCACCACGCCTCGATAACAACCTTCTACGAGGGGCGGAGCCCCGACAATTTTCTGCAAAAAAAAAAGATCGAAGTTAGTAGTCATCAATAGGCAAATAGCTTAAGTTAGGATTCGGGTGCTCTGTTTCGCATAGCAGGAAGGGGAGAGAAGGGGTGTGAACACCTAGTAGGCGCTCGTCGCTAGCGAAGGGCCTGACCAAGACCTGCGCACCTGTTGAGGACGGCTACCTCGGTAACCCAGTCGTTGCAGAGAGAGAGAGCACGAGGCGTGAACGGCGGCGGTGGACCGGTGATAGGCGGTAGCCTAGTCCGGGATTGTTCGGCCGAGGAGTTTTTTTTTTGAGCAAATTGTTCGTCCGAGGGGTAGCGCACCCGCACGGTGCTTCTTCTGGGCCGTTTTTCATGGACTGTTCCTATTTTCTCACAATATTGTTTCTTTTCTTTTTATTTTTTTCTACTACCGCAATCATGTCCGTGCGTTGCAACGGAAAAACATCTAATGACAACAGTACATTGACAAATTACATGCCTGAAATCTAAAACTAATTGTCATAAGCAGTTTTATTTGAACTAGATCATCTAAGGAGGTACATCATTAAACATATCTCTGGATTCACTTTGGTTCCAAGTACAGATGGTAACATCAGTGTTTTTTTGGGCAATGCATTGCTAGTTCAATAAATACAGGGGAAGCGATAGACATTGTTGAATAATGATCCGGTTTCCGTATTTGTATCGGAAACGAGCGGGCAGGACCCTCCCCCACAGCCGCTACCTCGGACTTCGAGTTTTTCACCAACGGCGCCGGAGACGAGCCCAAGCTCCACGACATGGCGGATGAGATCGATGCCCTTCGCGTGGCGACCTAGAGGAGAAGCTCGATGCTGTGGGCCATGAGAACCAATTCATATCCTTCGAGTCCCGCAGTCTCGATGTTCAGAAAGCACGATTTTCCCAAATGTTGGAAAGGTGTTTCCTCTAATTGTGCTCCTACGTGCAAGGTCGTGCGTGTTTAAAAGATGGAACTGCTAAGCCACGCGCAGGTTGAGGGTACATGACATCGTCATTGGTTGTCCTCGCCATGTCAGGGGAGTGTGCCAATCTATGGTGCACCACCCGGACGTAGGTTCTTCGGCACAGCACCTAATCTATAGGGTCGATTGAGCAGGCCGGTGGAAGTGTCATACTATGCCAACCCTGTTGAGACACACATACGAGGGAGGGGCCAATGAGTGTGTGCGTCAGTGTGGAGGGTATAAAGGTCGTCTCCATTTCCATGTAAAAGGTCCTGACTTTTGCAAAATAACATAGGCAGAGTCCGTTTCTCCCATGATGTATGAATTTATCCCTAAATGGGGCATGAACACGGACTCACTCAGTGAGCTCTTGCCATCTGAAACCCTCTTTTGAACTTAGGCTAGCTTTAGCTACTCTTTTTTTCGCGATCGTGTCGTGGCACGTTTTTCATTAAGCCGAAGAAGATTGTTTGTTACAAAGTAACCTGGATACGGTAATTAACCCACGATTACCGAATCTGGTGGTACACGTCTCGCACGTAGTTGTGATTACAAAATGATCAATTTGCGACTGGGCGCCAGCTAACGGTGGTACTCACAGCAGCGACATTATCTAGCAACATAAGATGCCTGTAACCTGCCAAGCACCAGTCGCTGCATCCCTCCTCAATCCGTTAGACTAGTTGCGCCGTCGTCGTCGCCATCTTGAAGGTTCTGGCGTTCCTCTCCTTGCAAAGCATCCAGCCAATGAGGAAGAATAGTGAATCGAAACCGCGACGAATTGGCTTCGGAAGCAGTTTCCGGTTACGTAGCCACCATTGCATCGAACCGTCCTCGACTCCTCGTGAACAAGCACAAGCTCGTCCAGATGCAGTCGTCGTAGCCACCAAGCCCACACCTCTCTGTTGAAAACACATCCAAGCAGTATGTGGCCCATCGTTTCGGCGCCTTGATCGCAGAGGACACAACTATCAGAGTTTTGCAGCCCATGTCGGAAGCGTCTCGCCGCAGTCCAGTACCGATCGTGCATAACTAACCACAAGAAAAACTTCACTAGACGGCGCCGATGTTTTCCATATTTCTCTTGCCCCCGGTGGCCTGGAAGAGCCAAAGAACATCGCTCCGAGTACTGACCGTCAGGCGTGAGCGTCCAAGCGAATGTGTCCGGCGCATCCATCACGAGCTGCACCTGCTCCAACCTCTCCCAAAGAGCGACAAACTCTGTAAGAACTTGCATGGTTAGGGGGTCAGTGATGTGGCGAACCCAAACTTTGCCGCGGAGCGCATCCGCCACAACCACCTTTCTCCGTCTAGACGAAATTGCCGCGAAGACAACAGACGCTAAGGTCTGGATGCTGGAACCGTCCAGCCAGTTGTCAGTCCAGAAGTAGGTGGATTCGCCGTTCCCAAGAGCAAACACCATTGCCGCCCTGAAAAATGGCCACTACAGCGCGCTCATCAGCGATGGGAAGCCCATACCAGGTCCTATTGGTGTCGAGCCTTAGCTACTCAGCCAGTGTTCACTTGTCGATAGCTATTTATTGGCATGACTTTTTCTAAGGATGGCAGCGGGTCACGTATGGTATGGGTGGAGTAGACTCTCGCTTGCGATGAATTGCCTAACGGGTAAAATTTCGCACACACGAGTTATTATGAATGGAACCGTTGGAATTCTTTATATTTTAAGCACTAATGGGTGAAGCGACGTAGACATAACTATGGCTAGAATCCTATAACCACACCCGCACTCGCAGGTGAAATTTTTACCCACTTCCACACCCGTCAAGTACAATATATATGAGTACCCACACATGTGGGATTGCCCTCCCTAACTATTTGTATATCCTAAATGGTTGCTTCCCACGTACGCATCATCAAGCCTCTTCCTCACTTGATGTGCCATCTCCAAGTCCTTGGTGGACTCAAAGACCTTGGGATCAAGAGCTTCATAGATCACATTGAGCACTTGATCATTGAGTTATAACTTCTCTTCTTCTCTTGGAGTCGGGTCTTTCATGTCAAGCACATCCTCTTCTTTCAACAGTTATAGTTTGTGCCATCAAAGTGTGGTGGCTTGACAACATGATTTGTAGCCATCTTTAACACCACAGGTCATAATCAATGACGACTTGACTCTGATACCACTTGAAAGGATCTAGCACTACTACACAAAACTTTACCACGGCGGGCAAAAATGCTTAATCGAGGCGGTTTTTGCAACCGCCTCGGACAAAAGGTCACAAATAATCGTGGTCTTAACCGAGGCGGTTGCCCTGCCCGCCTCGGTTAATCGAATAAATAAAACAAAAAAAGAAAGCCCATGGATAAGCCCGGCGAGCCCATCCATAGGCCCACCGAGCCCATCCACGCGCCGCCGCGGCCGCAGCTCACCGGATCTACGCGCCGTCGCAGCCGTCGCCGGATCCGGGCACCCGCTCGCGGGAGAGGGAGCGGGAGCGTGGATCTGCCTCGGGGGAGCTGCTGCAGGGCCCTCGCTGCCGGATCCACCGTGGGGGAGCTGGTGCAGGGCCCTCGTCGTCGATCTGCGAGGGAGGGAGGGTGAGGACGGATCCACCCTAGATCTGAGAGGAGAGAGTGAGGGACATACCTCGTCATCGATCTGCATCGCCGCTGTCCGCTCACCGGAGGGAGAGGGAGCCCGTGACCTAGCCACCACCACCGCGCGCCGCCCACGCGAGGCCACCACCACCGCGTGAGGTCACCGCCACCGCGCGAGGCCGCCACCATCGTGCACCGCCCGCGCGAGGCTGCCGCCACCGCGCGAGGCCACCTCCGCCCCGTGTGCACCATCGGAAGGGGCGCCGGTATGGGGAGGGGGCGCCAGGAGGGGAAGGGGGCGCCGAGAGGGGAGGGGGTGCGTTGGGCGCCG